TATAGTTTAAAGTTTATTTTAATGAAGTTTATTTTTAACCGGTCTGAACTGGTTAAAAGACCAGGGACCGAGGACTGCCTAACTGGTTAAAAAGACCGGTCTTTAACTGGTCTTTGCAGGACCGATCCAACCCTACTTAAATTGTATATATTGTATGTTTGTTGCAAAAAGTTAGTGAAGATAGATATGTGTTTGTAGTAGATAATTGGGATTTTGCAAGGGTGGAAGCTTTGAGGATGATGTTCTGGGGGATCTAGCTTGTGTCACAGTTTAATTTGTTATCCTGGGATTTTGTGCTACTGAAGTTTTATCAGAATCAGGGCATATTGATAGTTGATTAAAATATGCATAATGCATGATTTAATTGTATACCCAAATAAATTAATATCCAGTTATATCTTGTAATATTTAAAGCAAACATTGAATAATAATTGAATTAGTTTTTAGCTTTGGCATTAGTAAAACAAATGCTTTAACATATACACTAGATGGTTGTCCTTTTACATTTATAAAAGTATCTTATCAAACAGTGAAGTATCTATATGATACTTTAGTCATTGTATATATATTAGCCAAGCGAGTAAAGACAGATAGTAAAGGTAATCAAATACATGGTAGTTTAATAAACTCTGTGGCACTAGCATTCTTTGTCATATCGCATGATTTAAAAATTTGGAATATTTCATATCTTCTTTATCAACACAACAATGAACAAAATTAGTTGTGCAAATTATTAATTAAGTAGACTTTTTGTTACACTATTAGAAAGATAACTCATATGAATGCAGTGTTGTTAACTATCCTGTAAATTTACTCTGCTTGTACTTCACATTAGAAAGTATTATACTTTATAGCTGCGAAATAATGCCTACCTGCGCATTATTTCGAACATGCCCATGTGCATTATTTTGAATTAAGAGTTGGCTTTTTGAATCATACCCCTTAATCATAATAAGATTAAAAAACATTGCGCTGGAACTAGGTAGGCATTAAGTAAACCTACTTGCTTCAATGTAAGAAACAATTTTTGTTAGATGCGGAAGTAGGCTTATTTAGTACGAATCTAGTTCCAGAGCACTTTTTGTTTTCTTTACTTTTTATGTAGCCCATATTGAGATGCGCGTTAGTTCGGAATGCCCATGGGTGCTAATTCGAGATCGTATATGCTATTTAGGGAGTTTTGATTTTCGAACTAACACCTACGTTATTTCGCTGCTATACGGTAATTTGTATTATATTGGGTATTTTATTATGGATCTCTTGCTATTTATTTATTGGTTAATAAAAATTATATGTTAATTATAAAATGATTTTTTTATGACAAAAATGACTTGTCAAATGACAAGATGTCACTTATTGTGGTTACTGAAATAGCAAGTAAGCTTTGTAATAAAAATTTTTTAGTAACACATAATAAAATCATATCAATTCCAATGCAAACCAACTCATACTTATTAGAAAACACGATAATTCTAATACAAACTCAAACACATATAGTAGTTACCGTATCATGCTAGTGATAGATAAAATGATAAATAAATAACATAATATAGAATGCATTGTAATGAAAACAATATAGAATAGTTAAATAAAAGTAAAAATGAATTAAACAAAAATAAGGCAATAAGTTAGCTACTTATATGATATAAAAAATTGAAATAATAAAATTTTATACATAACCTGAAGTGTATAAAAATCTCTATTAATAACACTACAAAATAACAAATAAAGTGTAAAGGCTACAAAATAAACGCCAAACAATTTCTCATCATCTTTAATACAAACCTTTACCTATTTCGCTATAAATTAAAATATGACATTAATATAAATTTGATAATTTCACTACAATATGATATGATACTCTATTCTAACTCCCTTTAAACAACTCAAGTGCTTAGTTGGGAAAAACGAGCTTGTTGGTAAATTTAATGTCGATAAAATGATTGCCAGCGTCTGTGGAATGATTGTCGATGTAATGTTATGTCTGTGGAATGATTATCGGTGGTGTAATGTTATGTCTGTGGAATGATTATCGGTGATTACTCCGTTCCTGGATTAATTAAAAATAGAATTGTTCAAATTATTACATATTTATGTTAATCAAGAGTCTTCTTTTCACTCCGTTTCATCTGTAAAACTATGTCAGTAAAAGAGTGGCTCGATTATGAAGACTTTACTAGCGTCAAAAAAATCGGACGCGGAGGATCTGCTGTATATAATGCCACTTGGCGGGATTCTAATTCTAATTATACGCCCGTTGCGCTTAAATCCCTTTCGAAGCCATCGACAACCTTAAGCGATACTAATAGACATATTGAGAATGATATTAAAGAAATTAAAAAATTATTTGAATATTATTTTAATTATGCTCAGGGTGGTGATCCTTTTACTCAATGTAATCTTGGAATCTGCTACGAGCTTGGTATAGGCACTGCTAAAGATCAAGAGAAGGCATTCATGTGGTATTTGGAATCTGCTAAAGGGGGTAATTCCAGTGGACAATATAATCTTGGAAGTTGTTACAATGGAGGTTGGGGTACTGCTAAAAATGAAAAAAAAGCATTTGAATGGTATTTAAAATCTGCTGAAGGTGGTAATTCTCGTGGGCAATATGAAGTTGGGATATGTTATAGGAATGGGATTGGTACTTCACCAAATCAAGAAAAAGCTATTGAATGGTTGAAAAAAGCAAAAAGTAATAAGCTGTTTGATCATGAAATTGATTTGAGAGAGATTATAAAAAGAATATCCGATTATAAAAATTATGAAAGATTTTTTTCCGGAAATAACTTTTCAATACCATGGATTCCGATTAATGAATTAAAAGTTATTCAAAAAATCGGGGACGGTGCGTCTGCATCGGTGTATAGCACTATGTGGTCGCACAAAACCTCCTCAGGTATGCAAAATGACCCTGTTGCAATCAAGCTATATAAATCGAAAAATAGCATTAATGAACTTTTAAAAGAGGTAAATATTATATTTTTATGCTATACAGTATAAATTTTGGCTAATATTAAAATTTCTTAAAGCTGAATGCTTATATCGCTATTGGGGCTAAAAACCCTACGTTTCTGCAATGTCATGGAATTTCTAAAGATGAAGTTACTGGTGCTTATATTTTAGTTATGCATTATGCGCAAATGGGATCTTTACGCCAAAATCTTTACGCTATTGCGAATATGGAGTGGTGTAAAAAATTAAATTTATTGTCCTATATTGCATGTGATCTTCATTTAATTCATTCGAATAATATTATTCATGGTGATTTACATAGTGGTAATATACTTCAAGACGATTTACATAACACTTATATTGGTGACCTAGGGTTTGCAACATTAGATAGAAAGAAATTAAGTACGGAGCCAAGAGGAATTTATGGTATTTTGCCATATATTGCGCCGGAGGTTTTACGCAAAAAACCATTTACCAAAAAGTCGGATATTTATTCTTTTGGAATAATCATGTGGGAAATTGCTTCGGGAAGAACTGCATTTTCTGATCTTGAATTTAATAATTTAAATTTAGTTATAGAAATTTGTGAAGGATTAAGGCCAACAATTCATAAAAATATACCACTAGATTATTCTGATCTTATGAAAAAGTGCTGGAACGATGATCCAGACATACGTCCATCTTCCTTAGAAATTTATGAAATTATTACGAACTGGAAAAATGATACAGATTTATTGTTTAATTTTTCGAAATGTAACGAAAATGCGATAGTAACAAATTATAATTTTGATAATAATAGCTTCAATAATAGTCATAAATTAATTAGCTATACAAATAATCAAGAATGTAGTTCCACAATTATTAGTGGTTCTTCTGATAATATTAATATTGAAAGCGTTATCACAAGAACTACTGGAACTGAATAGAAATTCCGGTGATGTCCATTGGATCTAGTATAGTATTTGGTCTACTACCATATTTCAGATATCACTTTGGGGGGCAGCATATTTTTGTGACAACCCACTTCATTAACTTCCCCTCCCTGATAGTGAAAGTGTTACCCGCTTCATAACAAATTAAGTAAATTTATAATCAATATTTTTCATTTCACAATCTGTATAATTGGTATTAAGTTGATAAATTTTTTTAAGTATAATATATATATTAAAAATTACAAATATTACTCTAGTGGCACGTCCATCTATTAAAAATTGATTTAGTTCTAAATGTATAATGATTAAAATGTGCATCAAATTAAGTACATGCTTAATATAATTTTTTGTTATAAAGAATTTTTTTAAAAAAATTCAGAAAATTATTTTCATTTGTAATACACGTATGGTTTTACTATTATTCAATCCTCTTATATTTTAGTGACAAGCATATTACGTACATAGAACCTGAGTTAATAGTAGTAAGAGCTCGAAACAAAAGTACCATTACAAAAATTACATTGTGATTTAAATGCGTGCGCTGTTTAGCTCCAGTTACAACTTTTAGGGTTATAGTATCTCTTATTCAAATAAGGCAATAATTCGGATATAATTGATAGTTGAGAATTAATAAAATCAGTACATTATTCTCTTTTATTAAATGGATCTGCTGATATTTTAAGTTTTATGTCACTGCGAACTATGATTCTGTGACAATAGTGGCTTTATGCCTCACACAACCATAAAACTTTACACTGTAAATTTTACATGAATCGTATTTGTGACTCAATTGGATATAGAATTTTTGCAGAAAAATTTCACATCTTTTATGTAACTATACTCTGGTCGAACCATATTTAGGAAGTTCGAGTACATCACAATTATTAAATATAGAAGCTGCTTAATGGTATTTGATTCGGAACATAGCGATCGAAACCATATTTTATTGGTAACGTGTCGGCTATGATTTCTTGTAATTATAAAGGTATCATTTTTTCATCTGTGACTGCATGATGAAAGTCCGTGAGCCGATGATAATAATATAGAAAGGGACAAATATTTGCAGACAAAGAAACAATTGTATAGATGAAGTGCTACATATTTATCGTATATTCAGAAATCAAGATTTAACCAATCAAACCTCCTTTTCAATTTACTTCTAATATCCTTAATGGTTTCCATGATTGGACCATAGTTATTGGTGTTTCCTTGAGACGGCCTACAAACTTCAATTACATTCCAATTGCCTATAATCATTAAAAGAAAAGATTTATAAAAATAAAACTTTAATTAATAATAAATTTAATATTAAACAACCCACCATGCGATCGATTAATAAGACACACTATAATAGCTTGTGATTCGCGAGCTCTATATATGTTGTAATCACATAATTGTTTATCTGGTCTCTCTTCATCATATAATTTAAAGCTTGGATTACGAAAATGACCAAGTGATGGAAAGCTATACGAGCTTAAGACTAAATAAAGTTGCGTAACATCTTTAGGAAGATTCTCAAGTTTTGCTGTAATTTTTTGATGTCCTGTAGCTGTGAATGACAATTTAAATTGTGTAAAATAAATGTTGAAACGTGGGGTCTTTGCCTTGAAAATGACCTTACGGTATTATGTACCGTAAGGTCATTTTCAAGGCAAAGACCCCATATAATATGAAGTATACTTTTTTAATATTAGAACAGACCATTTTCGTTATTCATGATGTCTCCGGAATGTTTTATATATGGTATTTCAGTATAAGAAAGATGTGACCAGTCATATGTTTTCCATAAATTGTCACCTTTATATATCAAACAGGTACCATCAAGAAAGTCTATTCCTGAGTCAGGATAACCCCAGTATAAATCAAGTGCTAAGTTTTTTATGGCTTCTTGCTTTGTGATAGAACAAAGTACAACGATAAGTTGGATATGGCTATTTGCGCGGATCCCATAACTTGCGAGTGTATTATTGGCCCCGTAATCCTGTATAGGAAAATAATGATTAAAAAGTAAGATTAAAATTATAAAAACCTTAATATAATAAAAAAGAATAAATAAAATAAATAAACTATGTACTTTGAGCACCACATTTTTATGAATTAACATTTGTCTATCAATATCTATCTTGGTGTAATTCATCAACCTATGTTTTAACTTTTGAATTGTATTGATTTCGGAAAGCCTTAATTCAAACTTTTCACCATTTAATCGAACAACATAAAAAATTTCGGAATTTGTATTATCTTGTATAGGAAGTTCGGTACGTTCTTGTGAGAAACTTTCAAGATCAATTTTAAAATTTGCATTGTCCCAAAGCGAGCAGTAATCATTAAATTCTTGTTCAGTTAATTTAGCTTCGCATGTGGGACATTGGTGCTGCTGCGTTTCTTTTAGATAGTTTACAAGGCACTAATAAAAATATAAATATAAATGACATAAAGAACATTTTTAAATTATACATATTATTAAAGTTTTTATACCTTTAAACACCAAGATGTAACATGTTCACATTTTGAACTAATTGTACCAAATGGAAATTCTTCTGAAAGTTTATTAATTTGACATTTTTCACATTTCATTGTTTAACAAGAAACTTATATGCAGTCGCAAATTAGGGTCATGTTACCTAATTTATTTGTATGGAACTCTATAAATAGTGCTAGTGATCAATAAAATCTTATTGGTTCGCTAAAAATTACGTAATGAAACGGAATAGGTGTCCGATAGATATAAAGTCACATTCTTGAGATTAATACATAAAAAAGTCCGTTACGCTTTATTATTATTTTTTGTTATTAAATGCGTAGCAGATAATAAATAGTGTTTATTCACATCGTCAGATTCTAGAGTAGCGATCCGTAGCCTTAAAATCCTAGCTATCCGTATAATCCTCCGATCCTATGCGGATTTATAAATAAACT